AGTAACAATATTTTTATACTACATTTATCCATTTTAAATATACTAACCTCACTCATTTTTAACAAATAAGGCAAAAATGTCATTAATTCAGAAAATTTTTTCAGGACCCCACTTTGAGAAACACTGCTGTAAACAACCCTACTGAGAGGAGAGAAGTACTGAGCTGAATGAGACAGCTGTAAATGAGAGCTGCTGCTTTGTCAGACAAATTTAATTTAATTTGGAAGCCTTATCAACAGACTGGCTTCATTCACTTCCTCCACTGCTGTATGTTAAAATAACTAGCAGACACTGTGCAGAAAATCGACATCATTCAAAACTCCACCTTCTGTTCTCTGATTGGTCCAGGTAAAATAAAATACAAGCAGACGCTGTGCAGAAAATTGACGTTCTGTTCTCTGATTGGCCCGGCTAAAAATCTGCCAGTAAAATCCTTGTCAATGGGAGAAGTCCCAGACGGAGCAGTGAAGGGAAACTAGAATTGAGCGGAGCTGCGTAGGAAGGTAAGGTCCAGGTTACACAAGAACTAAAGTCATGAAATTATTTCATTAAGCCCATTTTAGTTCTAAATGTTTTCACGCACTGTTTTCCTCTTTAACGTCTCTCCTACAGCCTATTGGCAAATGTGCAAATATGAAAAAAATTAGGCGATTATGTCATTTGGCCATTTCTAGTGGCTTTTATTACAGCCAATAGTGACTTTTCTTACTGAGGAGTTGGTAACAGCGGCCACCCCGAATATTTTAGAGCATGTTTAGCGGACAGACGTTGGGTGTGTGGTCCTATGTTTTGTTGGTGTATATTTAATATTAGGGGTGTAAGAAAATATCGATACACTGAAATATCGCGATATTTCATTTCCCAATACTGTATCGATATTCTAAAGCTCTGTATCGATTTTTTTATTAAGGTTTAAAATGTTAACTTTCCTGCTAGCCGTTCATTTTTATGTTGTAGTTCAGCCTCTGACCACTAGTTGGCAGCAGTGAGCCAGCCATTTGGCTCCTCTGCCTCTTGATGTAGAGGCTTTTGTTAAGTGTTGGATGACCATATTGTAAATTAATATTAAATACTAAAAGCTGCAAAATATATATATTCAAACTATTTATTGTCAAATTTAGTCTAATAATTGAAAACATGGATGAAATAAGAAATATGAAACAAATAAAATAAAACACATACAAAGCAGAACACAGCTAAATGTACCAAAAGTATGCCTATGTAACATTAGAATTTTGGTTTTTCATTTTTTTTTTACTGTAAGAGGTTTTTATTTAATAGAACATTTGGACAAAAAAAATCGCAATATATCGCCTTGCT